TCTAAAAATCAGCTCCATCAGAGGTGAAACAGAGCAAGCACTTAACACATAAAAAAGGATGAGTGTAAGTGAAGAAAAAGATTGTACCCAATTGAAATCTCAAGGAATAGAAGTAGGGAGAATGTAATCACCCAGTCAGAAGTTGATTAAGATACCACTCTTTCAGCTGTGAGACCTTTAGTTTCTCTAAGTGGCTAGGACAAGTTAACATTTCATTCAAAAGGTGCGATCTCACAAACAGCATACTCTTCCCAACAAAGCAGGAACAGTCATGGAGAGGAAACAGTATTGTTGGCTGAAATCTTAACACTGAACAAGTTCAAACCCAGGATTCTCCTTTTCTCTTGCCCCTGAAGCTCCTTCTTTCTTTCAAACATTACATTTAGTAAGAAATCCTATAAGCTAAGAAAAGAGAGCATTTGGTACAGAAGAACTAACCCTATGCCTGCAAGATTCCTGAAAACAGCATGAGTTCCCTATGCAGGCTGCATCAGAAATTATTAAGTGGAAACAGTATTGTTATGCTTACAATATTTTTCTCTGTCCATCAATTACTCACATTCCGATAAAGTTTTGTGTTTGTTTTTTTTTTTCTTGCTTTGTTTTTCTCATTAAAATTCTCAGTAGCAATTGAAAACTGCAAAATTCAGCTGAAGCAAATAGCAAAACAAACTGGAATTGACTTTGGGCAGTTTCTGGAACCCGAGTTTCAGCTTCAGCTGTGTTCTCAGGGGCATGATATAGCAATCCCAAAGATTCTTTAATTCATGCCACAAGTATTTGGTCTTCAAGACTAAAAATGCATTGTGGTCTGCACCTCCACCAGAAAAAAAAAATGGTGAGACAAAAAAGAAAAAAAAAAAAAAACAGCATTGTTTCAGCTATAGTGTCTCAGCAGCAGAATTTCTAAAACATCACCAAAGCCTGCCCTGTGGGGAGAGAATGCAAAACCAGCCTTAGGGCAGTTGCTTTCCCAGGAGCAACACAGGACTGCCACAGAGGTCATAATCCAGAGCATGTTCATGTGTCTTCCATGTCCTCTTAATGTTTCTTGTGAAAGATGGACACTCATATAGCAAAAAGTTATGCCAGCAGCAGATCAATGCAACTGTGCCTCCTTCTAATAATTTTAATGCTGGATCATGATTGAGTAAGACATTAGGTGGACTGCAAAGTGTAGCATAACACTGCCCTACTGTTAAGCTTTAATTAGTTAAGGCAGCATAGAGCCTCCCTGGAACAAGATGCTCATATTTCTTAGAAATGCAGACAGTCTTTTATAGAAATATGAATTAAGAATAAGGACTTTTTTTTTTTTTTTTTTTTTTTTTTTTTTTTTTTTTTTTTTTTAATATATGCAAGGTAAAGGCAGGGAAGGGAATTAGGGAATGAAACCCTCACAGGACAGATCATGAGTCTTCTCTTCAGGATAGTATTTGAAATAGAAGTACCCCCTGAAGAAAAGCAGTAAGTAACAGTACAGATACAATAGTATTAGTACTGGGAAGTGCCATACCCTATTTGATACAAGTGCAGCTGAGTGTCACAGGAAGGAGGAAATGGACTAACATTACTTGTGATTTATTATTTCCTTGCTCTGTTGCTGATGCTCTGTGAGATATTTAGTGATGCACTTCACTCCCTACCAAAACTGGAAATAAAATATATGTGCCAAAAGGCGTTCTGATCTGTGGATTAAAAAACTTTAATCCACAATGCTAGGGCCTCATAACGAAATGTGACCTTACATCCCTGTGTATAAATAAACTTTGATTGTAACCCTATTTGGGACTCAGTCATTTATAACAGACGTAAAATAAATTAAAACTCAGGGCTGAACACAGAAACACCAAAATACAAAATAAAAAAAAAAAAAATGGCTTGACTAATTATGGGAATGTCTCCTCCAGCAAACTGGCAGTAGTGACATGGCCCTGCCTAAAACAACACGGAGCAATGCATTAAAAAGGCTGGCCAGTAATGTTATGCCATGAAATGGTAATGTGTTTTTGCAGCAAAATGTTGTATTAAGTTTCTGTATTGGAATTTGAGGTCTGTGGATATGGAGAATGGAACAATTTCAAATGAACAGCAGAGTTTGTCCTAAGTGTAGTCACTTCAGTACAAAAATGAATGGGCTTGCAGGCATGTGGTGGAGAATAGTTAAAAATGACTGGAGTACTCTTCAGATTATTGAAGCAATCTAGGAAATCTAAATTGGTCTTCAGTGCCCGTGCCCAGAGCACCCTATTCACTTCCAAAATGAAGTGCTCTTAAATAAATAAATAAATAAATAAATAAAAAGTGAAGCATTGCATTTGGAAAGAATCAGAGGTCTGGGCATGCACTGTGCAGAACAATTTAAAATTACTGGAGCACTTCAGCTTTTTTTTTTTTTTAGCATGCACTTCTTTTTGGAAATGAATCAAAAAGCATTCTATCATAGTAGGCAAACTCATGAATGATTTAAAAATTGAAACCTATGCAAAACAAAAGGGGTGGGTGTGGGGGGGGAGGAGGATAATTAAAATAATAGCACTACCTCCTCACCCCCTAGCTCTGAAAGCCACCAAAAGTAAAAGGGAGATGGAAAAGAAGGTTGGAAAGAGAAGAAGAAGAAAAAAAAAAAAGCTTCAAGGAATTGTAGGGACATCTCTGACCTGGTCTGTATGCTATGCAGAGATCCACAAATCAATACACTGCTGGAGCGACAGGATGGTTTTGGGAATAGACTATGGTGACCCTGTCTCCTCACCTTTGGCTATATAAACTTCCTTCACATCACAGAAAATGCCTCTTCTCCTTCCTGGTTGCATCTGAGTATCTGTTCCCTTAAGAGCTGCACTTGCCCGCAACTGCTTAACAACATTTTTATATAGATTTTTCTTCCTTTGGTGCAAGACATCTTGCATGGGCTGGTTCTAAAGATTTAGTTGTGATTTAGTCAGGGTTAAAGCTCCAGATCTTCAGTGTGTAGGACTATGGGGGATTTCAGCTTTCATTTAACATGAGAGTTTATTTTCTAGTCCCTGCAGCTGATGAGAAAAACTTGGAAACATATCCCCAGGAAGCTAGACTTGAAATTCTAGCAGGCAAATAAGAAGATCTTCCCCTTCCCACTCCTCTCCACACAACCCAAATTATTTTTAAAGCTCAGAATTCCAAAACCAATTTCACAACTTTGCAATATGCGGGTCTGGCAGTTCCCTTCTGCTTTGCCTCCCTCCCAGTATGCAATGCTTCCTCGTGAGCTAAAATGAAAGGAAGAACATGGCGAGGAGAGGAGCCTGCCAGGATCTCGGTCCCCTCACACCTAGGCCACCAAGGGCAGACACGCAGGTCGGTGGCCCATGGCCACAGCAGAAAGAGTCTGGGGAGGGTTCATGTCTGTGGGACTGAGGAACATTGCAGGCCTCACTGAGGAAAGGAGGAGAGTTGGCCTTGCTGCCAGCAAAATTTGGGCTCTCTTCCAGCACTCAGAAACATACACACTTTTATGTATTTGCCACATGGTTCTGCTGTGCGGCAGCACATGTGTTGTGGCTGCACAATGCAGAGTGAAAAGAGCACACGGCAGGAGAAGTGCTGCTGTGGGGAAGTGGCACAGGCCATGGTACCTGGGGTCAGGGTGGCAGCTAGAGATGCTCCACTTCTGCCTGGCAGAGGTGAAGTTTGCACTCAGTTGCCTTTTTGCAAGGGTAAAAGCCTCATTACCAGGTGCTTGGGAAGCTCTGGTCTGCATTTCCTCACCCTAATTTCATTATTGTTGGCCTGTGGCCTGGTGTTGTTCTTTGCAGAACGAAAGTATTAATGGAGACCAGGTCCCACTGAAGTAGGCAACAAAAGCATAGGAGATGACTGTAAAGAGCTTACATTGACATCTAAGAAAATGGGCAAAAGGTAGAACAAATGAAACATTATTTCAGTTCCAGGTCCCCAAAGTCTCACATCAGTGTCTTAACTAAAAAAGACGTACCTTCTCCATTAGCCCACAGTGGAGCAACTGTTGAAAAATCAAACCATTCCACCACAGCTCCCCCAAAAACAATCCACAACATAATTTCCTACCTACACCTGTGCTTAGGAGAAAAAATCCTATTAAAAGGGACCTGTGTGACAAATGCGCCTCTGGTTCATGAATACCCTTGGAAAACAAGGAGGTCATTTAGGGAGAGTCAGCTACAAATGCAGAACAAGGATCTCCTTGCCTTGACCAGAGTTAATGTTTGCTCAGTGGAGGAGCAGGTGACACAAGGCAATCTGCATGCAGCCGAAGGCTGATGGAAAGCTTGTTTGTGCTCAGTACACTAAAGTTGTTCAGGAACAGTTACGTAAAGATTAGCCCTGTAATGCTGCCAAATGCTTCGTGTTATTATGTGCTGTGTTGGTGCCAGGCAGCCCCACATGTCAGAGCTGCCTCATAGGGCAGTTTTAACATGTACACCCACATTTTCAGAGTTTGGAGAAAAAAAAAAAAAAAAGGCCACAGAGGAACCAACTCTGACCTCGTTCGCATGGCTGCCACTACTGATTCCCGTCAGCTTGTACCTGCCTGAGTGCAACCAGCGTAGAGCTGGAAAGGCGCTTCCACCTCATTTTTGAGATGGCTGTCCTCGCCTCTCCTCCTCCTCCTGACCATCATGTTTCCTCAGAGAATCCCAGTAGTGTAGATCAAAAAATAAAAGTAGCAACACAACCGTGTGGGAGCATACAAATTTAATGTTGGCTAAATAGGAAGGCAGTCTAAACAACACAATGATTGGAGTTATGCAGGTCATAAGTCTAGGGAGTAAGGAGTTCATATACTTTCTTTTCTTTCTTCCCTTGCTCTGTTTTCTTCACAAAAGTTCATTAAACAATGATTCTTTTTCCTTTAAAAATTTATGAATGAATTATGTGTTCATGAAAATGAGAGAGTAAAAAGCATTGGCCTTAGTCAGACATAGTGCAGTCTGGCACGGCAGAGAGAGAAACTTGTAAATAACAGATATGGGTATTACCTGTGTGGGACGCACCTGTCCTGGCAGGGAGTGGATGTGGAGCCCAAGACTCTGAGGAAAAGGAAAAGGTTGCTTCATCCAGAAAACTGCTTTCATTTGCACTAAACAGGTCTCAGTTATGCGGAAGCAGCAGCTGAAAAAAAAAATAAAAAAAAATGTCTGCAGACATAAAAATGGACCTCTTTATCTAAACTTGTATCATAAGTGTCTCAATCCTTTTCTTAGGCCTGGACATAGCTGTATCATCGTTGCACTGTAAAAAAGGAGTAATAAATAATAAAAAGTAATGAGAAGTCTTATTTTATGCATAAGTTTCTACTACTTTACAAAATACAGTCTCCCTTTGTTTCCCAATCTCATTCTCTCTCCATCTCCATAGAATCATTCTTTTTTTTTTTCACTTTTAAACAGATTTTATACATGTATTTCTTTATTGAGTCCTTTTTTTTTTTTGATATTTTCTTTTCCATCTTCTTTATTCTCACTTAGCTTCGATTTTGTATCTGTTTTTCTAGTATTCTATTTCTTTTCATTACTTTGTATTTCTGTATCTCCTCCTCTCTGTTCTTTGCCTGTCTGCTTGCCCCTTCCCTACATCTCTTCTTCTTTATCTATTGCCTTCTCTCTTCATTCTCTGATGGTGATTCTATTCCTTCCTAGCTCTGTTTTCAAAACCCTCTTCTTACATCCTGTTCCTTGCTGTGATCATTTCACAAGTCCTGTTTCCTTTCTTGTCTCCTGTGTTTATTATTATTTATATAGCTTAGTGCCCAGAGTTATAATCTTGACTGTCTTCTCAACACCACCACCGTCACCCTTCTCAGGGATCTATGTTAACAGTCAAGGGCATTCTGTCTCAAAAATCTTCTCTTTTCCTTCTCCTTTTTTACTATCTGCAGATTGAGCCTGCCTGACAATGACAGTGAAAATATTAGGATTATCTTGTCCTTTCAGTATGTCAGGAGAATAGGTTCTGGCTGCAAGGACAGCTTGCTTTGGAGTCTGTGGAGAAGGGGCCACACTGCGACATGATCTCCAGGAAGAACACCAACTCATTTATTGCAGAGTATCTGCCAGTAGTCTCAAAGGACACAAATTCCTCAAACAGCTCTGCGTCTTCCAAAATCAGGTTGGCTAGTGACTGTGGAGAGGGAACTAGCAGACTTCGCTGACTGCGTGGCTGTCACAAGCAGAATTACTCTTTTCCAGGATTGCCCTCAAGATGAAGACTATAACGGGATCTGTTTGTGCATGTCTGTACATGCAAAAACACTCCACCACAAGAAGGATAAATAAAATAAAATAAAATAATAAAATAAAATAAAATAAAATAAAATAAAATAAAATAAAATAAAATAAAATAAAATAAAATAAAATAAAATAAAATAAAATAAATAAAATAATGGGAGACAAAATGACTCAGAGCACCCCATGGCTGAAGGATGGAACATGTTCCTGGCTATTTTAAAGGAATGAGTCTGATGATAATTAAGCTTAAAACAAACAAGCAAACACTGTGGAGCTTTCTGGGCTGCAGTGGGAGTATTTCAAGCAGCTTCTTAGGTGTGGTAAGGTATGGTTTTATGGTTTCAAGCCCTTGACTTGCTTCCACTTGCCTTGAGCTGACCGGGGTTTTCAGACAGCCAGCTTTGGCCTTAGGAAGCTGAATCTTTTTGTGGGTTTATGCCTATGAGAAGCTGATCCTCACAGCTTTACTGGATGGGAATGATATCCAAGACCTGCTTCTCTCTAGAAGGATAAAACTTAGTCGATGATTAGTTGTACTACATCCAAAGGAACCCCAGGTAATTGGAGAAGGTTAAAATTCCCTTACTCTGACAGTCAGCACTGTGTTGTAACTAAGAGAGGTCTTCAGTCCAGAAGTCTGTGAAAGCCAAAAGAAAAAAACGTGAAAAGGGAGAGGGTTGGAGTGACATAAAGAAACAAGTGGCTGCAGGAACTCTGGAACAAGGCAGAGAGGGAGGCGGAAGAGATGCAGAAAGAAGAAGAAACTTGAGGATGACAGTGGCTTTAAAAAAAAAAAAAAAGCTACTTGTGGAAAAAGGATCCAAAAGCTGAACCTGCAGTTACTGTTTTTCTTCTTCTTTTAATTCCTTCTTCTTTCACCTTTCCTTTTTCAATGCAAATGGGTCAGAATCCATCAGTGTATGCCTTTCAGGATTCTGGCCATGTGCACTGGCATGACATGGTCAGAACATTTTAGTAACACTGATCTAGATTACATTAGTTTTTGCATTTTCAGCCCCCAATATCTCCTCCAGGTTTGTTCCATCCCCAGAATCGTATTATATTAACCTGGCTACTTTTACATGCTTACATCCTTTTTTGTAACAAATGAAGGATGTATAAATCTTTTCCACACAAGTCTGGGAGGATAAATCAGAGCCTGCAGTCATATCTACACTGTGTGACCAGTGGCAAAGAAAGTTTTTTGATATCACAATTTTCTCTTTCCAGCCCTGTGTAGTGTCTAAGAGTTTTACTCTGGAATTTTGAAGGTAATTAAACATCTTGGTGAGCAGATCCACAGCCATCCCATAGAGCAGAACAATGGGAAGATTGTTTATTTTGTTTGTGATGAAAAAAAAAAAAAAAAGTTTTATACTAATACAACAGTATTTGATGCCACTAGCAAGGATACATATTCATGCTGCGCATCCTCAGCAGTATAAAAAATAGATCAAGAGTAGGGTTGTTTTTTTTTGCTTTTTTTTTTTTTTCATTATTTTGGAAAGAGAAAGAAAATAAAATAATGAAACTTAATATTGTTGAAATATTTGTAAATATTTAAATATAATACTCCAGCAACCCCATATCCCTATCAACCTGTAGCTCTAATTATTAACTTAGCATTCAGCATTAAAAGAAGCATAGCTGTTATTGCACCCAAAAAATAGGGATGGATGTGGCAAGAGAAGGAGGGAAATTAAGGGGAATTACTATTATTTTCATGTACTCGAGTTCTGATATAAAAATGGAGATTTTGTCTGTTAAATGTTGATGTGCACAAAATCATAGCCAGGTCTAAATGCCTTAGTCATGGCAGGGGGTTAAAAACGAGAATATTTGAGAATAATGTGAATTAAAAAGGCAAGTTAGTTTAAATTTCTGTTTGGTAGGGCCTGAGGCCTACAACTCCGATGGGAATACACTGTAGCCGGAGGGCTGATGAATGCCCTTAATGAAGTTGGACAACCTGGAATACATGCATAAAATGATTTTAAATATTGATATGATGTCATTGTGTGTCTGAAGATATTGAAATGTTCATTTTCAGAGCTAGACAGGTTGCGTCTAATTTATTATGGGGAGGGGAATGATTATTTACATATTTTAATGTAGCAATAAAACAATTATGGGATTTATGGAGAGAAAAAATATTCATGCTTCTTGGAGAGAAAAAAAAAATCATGTTGTGATGTAAATTACTTAGAGGAGCTTGTACCAGAAGATATGGAGAAATACACTTTTCCTTTTTTCTTCCTTATAATTGAGATAATACATTCATAAAGTATGTAAAGTAAAAGGACCCTTTGACCAATGTTAATTATATTTAACCTGCTCCATGTATAGTAGAAGGAACAGCTTAAATATATCACTGGGGATGACTAACTCACCCATATATTCTGGATGTGTCTATTATAACATTTCCATGACATTGCCTGGTTCTCAGAACAATTCTTACCGTGAAGAAGAGGAGACGTGGTGTTATAATGGTGCGTTCAGTTCCGTTGTGATATGAAAGTTTTTACAGAGAATGCCTCAGGGCAGCTGTCTGCCTCATGTGTTCAGTATTATGGCTGTATAACACACAGGGGTGGAAGTGTATTAAAGGCAGAGCCATTGCAGTCTGCTGGAGGTTGCTGGTGCTAAGGTCCAATCTTTATCATCTCCAGAACAACTTAAAAATGTGTATTCTTTGCAAAAATTGCTTAGGATACTTTATTCACTTGTTCTTTTGTTCCTGAATGGTATTCATCCCAACCTGAAAAAAGAAAGAATGTAGACTGCATTTCAGCTCTGGTGTAAGTTGAAGCAGCTACCTTACATATGGAGATGCTTAGAGGGTGATTTGCTGTTTCTGTTTAGCTTTGTCCCCCCTTATGACATGTGTGAGCAAGTGGGAATGAAAACTCTCCCACCTTTCAGCTCCCTTGCCCACCTTTCATGCACGGGTTTAGCAGATCATGGCAGGTTTCATGTCAGTTTAGCAGAACCGTTAAGCACATGCCTAACTCAGAGCATCTCACTGAGGCTGTTTATTTGCACAATGATGGGCAACTTCTTGCTGAATCATGGCCTGAATGATTACAGACACAAAGTAACAGCAGATTGGTCCTTTGAAGAACATGCACACTATACTCTGTGGTTCTACATGTATTTGATCACAGACCCTAGAAATTATGCCTATGACCTGGGCAGAGTTTTTGCTGTGTCCAGCCTTGAGGTAATTTCCACAATGGCCAAAACTCTTTCAGGAAAGCAATGGCAAAAGAGTTGGAGAAGCCGTCTTCCACTGGAAGCCCTTCCTTCTGAAGCACATATACCAACAATGACTGGATGGGCAAATGAGGCAGAGGGAGCAATATCCTGAAAAATATTTCCAGACCATCAAGTCTAAAAAGATCTAGAGAACAGTAGAGTGAAGGGCAGCGTAGCTAAGGACAAAGGATACATATGAAAATTAACATGTTTTAGTGAGAAAGATGGGTGGTTGAGGACTTGACAGAGATGTATAAGATCAGAAATGGCCCAGAGGATAGCCATTGATTTCTCCCATTCCTACAGTAGCAGAAAGAAAGGGCACCCGACAAAATGAGCAAACACCATATTTGCAGCAGAGGAAAACTTTTTTTTTTTTTTTTCCACAGAGCACATAATTGTGCAACTTTCTCTGTGAGATGATTAAGAGGCCAAATATACAAATAGATTTGGAAAAAAATATTAGATAAATTTGTTAGAGATAGCTTCTTAAGTCTGGATATAACCTTTGATTCAGGAAATTGCAAAACCATTGATTGCCAGAAAAAAATCACTTTACATGTTTCCTGTTTCCTCTGCTTTTCCCCCAGCCATCCATTCCTGTTAATGCCAGACAGTAAACAAAGCCAGAGATGCTGCCCAGTCTCGTACAAACAGGTACAAGGCACATAAGAAATTCAGATGGCTTTTAGCTCATCTCCACTGGTGAGCTATCAAGAAACAAGCTGATTCTTGGCATTCTTGACCTATTTCATTCAAATAGGAGCATGTGTCAACAGAGCATGGGTCAGAGACTATCCCCCAGCTCAGAGCACAGCAGACAAGGAAGTGTCTCCACAGCGTCTCCACCATGCACATGTTCACAGGTTTGCACGGCCCTTCCCGCTGCACCCTCAGCTTCCTTGTGCAGCCATGTTTCACACTGTGTCTCAGCAACTATTTTCTCCTTATGTTTTAGATCACATATGTCATAGCTGTTTAAAACTAATTTCAATTAAGGAATGGATCAAATCTCTCAATGATTCCAGCTACCCTCTTAACTGAAGTGATTGCCCTGGAAGGAGCAGCGTTTGGATCTCAATTTTGTAATCAAATAGCCAAACTATGTGATTAGCCTATATCAAATTAGTCACTGTTCACCAGCTGACACCCTCAACTAATGCCTCCTGCCACTAATTGACTTTATTTCCACTCCCTTTAATGTAGCTACCTGTTTTCAAGCTGTTAACTGGATTTACATGCCTTTCAGCTTCATCTTTCTGATAAATGTCCTGCATCCCTCCCACTCTTCAAGTAATCCTTCCAGTATCTGTCCTCTCTCCTTCTATCCCTCTTTTCCCTCTTGCCTCAAATATGCTTCCATTCTTAACTTTCATCTCCCAAAGAAACTTGCAGTGTGATTTTGGCCATTACAGAATAAAACATTATGAAAAATCAGTGTAAGAAGGCAGGGGAGCTCCGCCGTTGAGTAGAATGGTGTCCCCAGCACAAAGGCATATCGGGCAGGCTGAGTGGTCAGGACTCTGACTGCAGGGTACTTCCTCAACTTCACCCGCTCAGCACTGAGGGGTGGAGCACAACCATCAATGGGGAACAGTGCCTGAGTCCTGTACATAAGCCTTGTTTAGATGGCCATCAAATATTATTTACAAAAACAAATATTATTTACAAAACACTAGGAGTGACTACAAAAAGTTCATTTCTGATCCAGTTAGCAAACAGCATTTCTACATTACCACCACTGTTCCCTTACCACCCTGCCGCAGCCATTGGTGAGGTTGCTGCCTTTGTGCTCTACCATAGAGCCTCCGTGCAGGGAATGGGTGCAAAGGAGCCCCAGGAGCGCTCAGCTGGAGCACAGCATGCCTACCCCACAGGGAGCTTGCAGCAATTTTCTCTGTAGGAGAAAAACAATGTGCTGCAGCCTCTTCCAGCTACCATATTACACACACCGGGTTATCTAGCACAAACCAGAACAATCCCTAGGCAGCTGTAAATGGTGCAAGTGGAGCTGGGAGTGCAACAATTGCGTGCAACAGCCTTGCCCTCTCTGCTTGTGAGTGACAGCCCAGCTACACACAGCCCAGATTGTGCCATTCCTCTCATTTGACTTAAGATATGTTGGGCTAGTGAGGTTCACTAACCATTCATAGCGAGTATATAATATTATATACATTGCTAGGAAAAATAGCTGGACATTAGTATCATTCACTGCTAATACGGGACACAAAAGGAATTTTAGAAACTGCAGCATCCACAAATTTTCCTGGTAAGAAAATAAACATGGCAAGAAACTGTTTTTAAAAAGCTTTAAAATGTTCCTAAATATCAACTTTATTTTTAAAAATTGCAACATTTGTAGAACAGAAATGTGATCTTAGCTATCTAAAAATATGTTCAAAAAAGAGAAATGTAGCATTATTTTAATGGTCTTAAATTTGAGGGAATAAAGTTTAATTCATTTATTCAACTGAAAAAATTATCTGAATACAATTGTAATTCAGAGTAAGTGAAAATATGTTTCCATTCGCATTTAACTTTTTGACATTTTTGTATTGTAACATGTACAATTCCCAAATTATTTAATGTATTTTGTTTCTTCTTTTACAAGACAACTGAAAGGCTTTCTACAATATGGGTCATAACAAAAATTTTCACTCTTAAGCTCCCTGAAGAATTGTGTTCAGTCAGGCAATTTTTTTGTATGTGGATAAAAACCACCTCTTTATTTGTTTTCTGCTAATCAGACATCATCATAAGTGATGGACAATAGGATTTGTCTGAGGAGCTGCAAAATTTTTAGAATACATTTGCAAGGCTGATTCAAAAAATCACATAATATATATTACAAAATATTGTCTAGGCCATCTTAGAAGAAATCATTGATACAACTGAGTAAACCAGCACTGGCCTTGATGGAACAGCATTGGCACAAAAGAAATAATGCAGTAATGCACTCCCAAGAATTGAGAGCTAATAGAGAGCAACATTATGGATATTACCCAGGATGTAATACCCTTATTCTCATGCATACCACCTCATTTCACATCAGGATGCAGACAACTCATAACAAAACTTATGGGAGGAGAGGGGAAGGATGAGGGACGAGGGTTTTTGCCCATGAACAGATGCATCTGATTCACTATCAAAACCTCTCAGGCCCAAGTGGAAGGCACAGATTCAGAGACACTGGGTATGAACGTTAAGGAAATCTCTCTAGCTAACCAATTTTCTAACACTCCAGTTCTGCCCTTGAGTTTTGTTGCTTCTCTGTAAGCTCCCTTCTCATCCTGAGCAGGAAAATGCTGTACTGGTAAATGTCTGAGGGCAGTAACCCTACAGACAAATTTGACTTGTTTGAAACAACTGTTATTCACTCCTGAGAAATGTGACTGGATCTGAATAATTTACCAAAAGAATGGGTATCAAGGGGACAAAAGATTCAGTCATATTTGTTACACTTGTGTTACACCCGTGCACCAAGCCTCCCATACTGTAACTTCACAGCAGCAAGACAGCCTCTACCCAGAGCTTGCAACTGGGTGCCCAGCATGTGTCCAAGAAATGTAAAATTACCCTAAAGGAGCAAAAAGCAGGTTTCTTGGTCTCTGTAAGCTCCTGTATTTTGCTCAGTGCTTTACTTCCTCACATCTGTTCTGCAAATGACTCAGATTTCTGAATCAGCAACTCCAGAAACCTAGTTTAAAACTGCCATCCATTTACCACCCTGTCACAGAAAGTTTCCTTCTGTGTTTGTGTGTGAGTACCCTTACCCCGCTCCAATAATTTCCATGACCTACATCCCTTTGCATTGTAGGACAGAAGCCTGCATCTTTGTAGTCCTGCACCTTCAGGAAGGCATTTACATCACTGGGACACAGATGCTAAATATTACTATTGTTTTCAGGCACTATCCTATGCCCACTCTACACTCACAGCTCAACAGCTACACAAGATGCACAGCAAAGGATAATCAGCCCCCATGTCTCTGGGCAAAGTACATACCTCTCGATTCTGCCATTGATTTGTCAGGAGATGTATACTCAAGCAGATGGTTCAGAAGAGGATCCTTTAGGAAAAGTGTGGTCAGATTGACCTCACTTTCACTGAGCTGACAGCCTGGCGAAGAAAGTTAAACTGAATATCAAAATCATCAGCAAAAAAACTCCTCTTTCTTTGATTGTACAGTTTAAGAGGAGCCATTCGAGCTCAATTTATTCTCTACACAGGAACTTCATTGATTATCTCAGACATTCATGCAGGAAGGAAGATGAGATAAGAAGAAAGTTATTTTTTTTTTTTAAGTGATTGCAAGATGGAGAAAACTGCTTTGTGAGTGTAATATATACCATAAAGTTCCCTTTGTGTAATCTGCTGCTGAAAAGTAAGAAGAGTTTACCTTTTCTGAACAAAAGAAACATTAGAGATGGGCTGATGATCACTGAGGGCAGAGATATGAATACTAGGATTAGGCTATATATTCAGATATAAGATTAACATAAATAAGTTTTCTTGGGGGAAATATTATGGAGGTCTTCCCCTTGTCTTGTCCTGCCAATCACCAGCAGTGGGAAGACAGACTGATTACTATTCATTGTTTTTCAAAGGATATTCTGATTTGATCTCAGGCTATTGACCATGAAGGGGTTTGCCACTGACTTTGAGAGGGAATCAAAGCTGACTAAAGACTGCTGCCATAAATGAAGATTTGGGTTCACTTTTTCTCTACCAAAGTCAAGTGGCTGCCCCACCAGTCCCTCTGGAGTGGGGAAGGAACTGTTCAAATGCAAACCTGAATGCTGGGGGCAGGCAGAGGCATAACATCTGGAAACTTTACAGAATGGTAGGTCATTGTTTACTGACAGCATATTTTCTTTGCCCAAAATAACAACAGTGAGGAAAGGGTGATGAAATGGCATGTTTTATCCAAACTTTTTGGTAGCTGTAGTATGAATTGAATGGATAAAATAAGAACATATCCTGGGAGGGGCTCTGCGTTCAGGTCAGATGTTTGAATGCAGTTACCCCTTCACAGGAAGCATCACACATCCCGAAGGAACCAAGGTGTGCACTTTTATGATGGCATTTTGCAAGCATTGATTGATACAGCAACTTTAAGTTTATAGATTTCTTGGGTCCATTCACAAAAAAAGTTTTAAGACAACCTCCTATGCAAGCAAGCTTTTTATAGATGCACACTTTGAAACTACAGTTTCAACTGAGGACAACTAATCATTTTCGGGGAAGAAATTGGTGGGGGCAACAAGGCTCATCCAAAATGTCTTTGTGCTTTTTTGATCTTGGACTTGATCTGTGTCAGTCCAGTCCTCTGTCACAAGCCAAAGCAACATGTGAGACAAAGCAGGCACAAGTGGCACTATAAAGCTGTTATAGCTTGTGCTCCTGCTCAAAACATCTTTGCTCACAGCAGCTGAGGATTGTCACAGGGACTCTTAGAATAGCTGCACTAGAAAAATACTGATATTGCAGCCCTCCATGATCAGCTGAGTAGCCTTTCAGAATCCTTTGCAAAACACCTGGAAAGAGAGATTAATCTTGCCCATACCTTAAAACAAAGAACAGCTCTACCACCCTACACAGACAAGCAGAAACTAAGGCAGCCAGAACCATTCTTACATCACAGATGACTTCAACAGGGTCACAGCAGAGCTGGTTATAGTTACTTCAAGTATTATGATCTGCAGAAGCAACTGGAAGTGTGCCTCAGGGAGGGGCTAAGTAGATCTGTATATCATCTCTTTTATATCTGCCTCTGCTGGTGTTAGATTTTGGTGTAAGCACAGGCTATTTATTCAGTGTAGAAGCAAAGGACTCTTGAATTCCAATATCTTCTCTTACATCAGCCTCTTTGGTCTTGTGCAAATCTCCTAACTTTTTTGACTGCTATCATTTATCTTGACAAATGAAAATAAAACTACACTGGCTATGCCATACTAGCACTGAATGTAAATGTCTGCTGATTTTAGCTACAGGTTTAAATGAAGGTGTGCTTTCTGAGAAAGAGCTTGTAGAGAAGCTGTGTCATGACACACCTTTTGAAAGCTCAGTACAAGGTGGAATATTTACATTTTGCATTTCCCTGACACATGCATGCAGGGTGTGACGCTTTCTAGCATTTATTGTCTTGCAAATGTACTGAAGCTGACAAATCAAGCATTTTTAAATAGACACTTAAAAAAAATTACTCAGCTGCTAAACCAATCACTGTAGGTTGCAGCTCAAAATGAAGTTGGAAATCTGCACCTTTTAATAAAACAATCTGCTTGAGAGCTGATGATATTTGGTTATGGAATTTATCTGTAAATATAATTAAAAATTCAACAAGAGAGTGCTCTGAACTGAGGGGTAAATATTCAGCACGATGCAGAGTGCTCAAGCTACATGATTCCCATTATCGTTAATGGGAGTCCTACAGCTAAATCCCTAAGCATCACGCTAAAAATTTACCCCCTAGTGTTTGCAGATGGAACAAAAGGATTATTGTACATACCAGCAGAAAATAAAGTTACCACTGACATTTTGACCAGAAAGCTTCCATCAGGATTGGTAAGTGAAAGATTTAGCCTACTAATTCCCCTGCAGACCATTTCTTTGGGGTTTCTCCCTTCTGAAGAGTCATTCTCGATTTTTATTTTTTTCACTTCCATTTACTGGTTTTCATATCATCATATTTCTCAAATTCCTGTCGTCCTGGCTACCTACCAGAATATTTCTCTCTGCTACACCCCAGGCTTCCTGGCTTCAGTGTGTACAGTTTCAGGTTCCTGAACCTTAAACATAATGGACATAAGGACAGAAGAACCATACATATGCCAATGACGTTTCAGCTGAGTTAGCTGAGTGTGCAAATTCACTCAGCAATAAAATGCTGCAGGGGACTTTGGGGGTGATTAAAATGGGGAGGGGAACATGCACTTGCAAATTCATTCTTCTGTAGTTTGCACCTTCTGCTCTTCTTGGGTTGGGGCTCCAAGGCTACAAGCTGTCAGGTGCCTTTAGCCCGGGTGAAATCAATGACAACTCGGGAGTCTAGGCCTGATCCTGCCAGGAGATTTAATGAGCAACATTTCCTAGGAATGTGACGGCACAAAACAGTGCAATCCATTAACTTTCTTAGGTACTTTTTGAAAACACACTTTTAAATAATGAAAACAATGCTTCCGAACCACCTTTTAAAATGTGTGTGTATATATATATATACACATACATACACTTATACGCACACCAAAAAGAGATGCAACCTCTAAAAGTCTAATTTGCATTCATAATTTCACTTTTTATAACTCAAAAATAGCCAAGAGGATTTGCTTATCCTTTGTACACTCTGCTACAGTCCTGAGTGAATCTTTATGGGTGAGTTTTAAAGCCCTCAACAATAGAGGCTTATAATGGAAACATTGATAGACCATTATTATAGTGCCGGTCATAAATACAATGCAATTTCATTTTATATAACATTCTTCATACAAAGTATCACAAAATGTTTTACAGTAAGCCTCAGTTGCAGCTAAAGCAAAAGGAAAGAGAATTTAAAGGCAACATTTCATTGACTTTAGCAAGGGGGAAAGAATTCCTTACAGGATAGCACAAATAAAACTGCAAGTTTTCTCCTGCCAGGTCTTTTTGTAGAAAGCTCTTAGGAGACTGAAAAAAAGAGTAATATATATATATATATATTATATTATATATAAGATATATCCTTCTCTCTGAAATTCAATATTTCAACTCCTACTTTGTTTAATTTTATATACTCATGCAACTCCATTACATACCTAGGCAAGGATGCTTGTTAAATCTCCTGGCAGGATCAGGCCTAGACTCCCGAGTTGTCATTGATTTCACCCGGGCTAAGGGCACCTGACAGCTTGTAGCCTTGGAGCCCCAACCCAAGAAGAGCAGAAGGTGCAAACCACAGAAGAATGAAGTTGCAAGTGCAAGTTCCCCTCCCCCTCCCCATTTTAATCACCCCCAAAGTCCCCTGCAGCATTTTATTGCTGGGTAAATAATATAATGAAAAAGTGCCTACATGACACAAGCCACATGGGCACAGACAGCTATTAAAACTGAAATGATTTATTTCGTAACAATCCGAGGTAGCATACTTTAATTCTAGGTACAGCAACCCCTCCATTTCTGCTTGCCTCATTTGCATAGGTAATTGACAGCTTGTTAACAGCTCATTAGGAACACTGAAAACCATGTGACAGATACAAACCTAGTGCTAGAGGGGAGAAAATCTGTGAATTACAGTATATTGAAAACTCAATCAGATTCAGAATTACAGGTCACAAAGCAAGTTGGTTATTTTATTAGGTTAAAAAAAAATTAAAAGGTTAACATACCATTTTTCGACCTGTATTTTTAAGATAGCAGACTACGAGGTAATTAATTAGGAATCTGATTGTGATGTCAACTACTCTTCTCTGCCATGGGTAGGATTAGGAACCATACTAGGGTGATATAGTAGGACAAGTAATGACTGCTGAAAAATAAATTAAAAAAAAATAATAATAATAAATTAAAAAGTCTCGACGTGGTATTCAATTTTGGTTTTAAAATATACTTTTCTCAAAAAGGCAAGTAACTTACAGACACTGCAATCTAATATTCTGTAACTGAGAAAAATGTAAGGAATAATTTGATTTTAGTCTATAAAAAGAAGATAAGTGTTCTGATTTGCACACTCTTACTGTCTGTAAATTTTGATGATGCTTTTTTTTTAAGGACATTTGAATATAAACAGTGCAAATAACAGTTATATCAGCAAATCTACTTTTTGTATTAAACACACACACACCATAATCTTGCTTTTCTAGCACTGCTAGCAGAAATACAGCAAAGTGTAGAAATAAAATGGTCTCCTTGCAAAAAGTCTCCCTTTCCCTGAAACCTGATATGGATTCCCTCTAACACAAGTGCCATTTGCTGATGAGGACAGAGCTGGTCAACTGTGTGTTAGTCTGCAGAGGAGAGCAGCAAGCCGTGTGATTTCAGATCTTTCTTTCAGGCACCAGAGGTTTATAGATTCTTCCCTCATCCTTCTGAAAAAACACACCAACAAAACATGATCACATTGAAAACGCTCACTACTTAGCAAAAGGAACAACAATGTTAAGGTGTGGGATTATCAAAATACACTAGAGCTTGTTCACAGGGAGGGTTGTGCTCTTTCACTTCAAGAGGTGCAACTGTCTCAGTACAGATGCATATGTTATTTAGGAAAGTGCCATAAAAAAAATAACTTGTGAAGAGTTTCTTATATGAAATCACAGATTTATTTCCATACTATGAATGGAAGCCATTTGACTATAGTACTCTGGCTGGTAGGGATAAAATCTCTCTGTGTAGACATGGTTTAAGAGTGATTAATGAATCTGCAACCTGCAATACAATGCGAGTTGCACTTGTAAGTCACTTCAGCACTTTTGAAAGCTCCATCTTTAGTCTTCATTATGAATCAAACCAATAGGGTAGTTGTGCCCCCAGCATTAATTACACTGACTCCCGCACCAGTGAAGTTACACTGTTGTAACTACACCAACATAAAGTTCTAATGCAGACATGCTCCAACAGTATAAAGAGAGCTTTACACATAGTACAGCTGACCCCAGATTTACACTGAGCTTAGGCAAAGCATGATTCACATACACTTAAGAAAAATTAGCTTGCTTTTTGCCCTTGAGCCCATATCAACCAAGGCATTTTGTACAAAGAAAAAGTCAGTGAATGAGCGCTGAGAAGCAGTGGTGATGGCAGACCAGTCAAACCAAGCCATAATATTGTGGCAAATAAAAGAAATGGTAAGATCACCAAATGTGAGAAAAATAAATAGGTAAAGCCTAAACTCCTGAACCAAAAATGAATTACTTTTACTTATGTGCCATTTTCTTTGACCACATCAGTACAAACAATAATGCAAATGCTGTTTTTGACAACAGATCTCATACTTGAGTACTGAGCCAAAAGTGTCAGCATAAAGGGCATGATCTTGACATTATCCCGCCATGCTTTAATCGTGTATATGTCTAACAGAATGACTTCCCCTGCAACGTTCTTTGAGGCCTGGGCTTTGTTTTTCACTTTTGATTTCCCTATTTTACATGTGAGAATTCCACTTTGATTTGGTTTATCTTTGGAAAGATAAACAGTGAAAATCAGTAATGAAACTATCAAAGCTCAGCTCACTTTCCTGCTAGGTTGACCTGAATTACAGCTGAAATTCTGGGAATACATTCTTTCATTCTTTTTCTGCATTAGCCACTCAGTCAATGCTTATAAGATGACATGATTAAAATGAAGTTTGAACTTACTCTGTAGATTCATTCTCTGACTTATGACAAGAGTCTTCTAGTTTTCATTAACTTAAGTGCTATTTCCTTAGGACTCTTATTTTTACAGTTTCTAATCTACAGCTTTGTAATGACCTGGCCTCAGGAACATATTATGCTGTATTTCCCCTCCTTCAGTCCTTGAGTAAGGGGCATACAGGCTATTTAGAAAAGGAAAAGGGCTGTTCCACTTTGGCTTCTAGATTGGGTGTGAGATATCAGATTTTGGTACTGGAAGTCCTTGATGGTCAACCCCTAGGTGCAGTCTGCCCACCTGTATAACAAGTGTTCAGGCCTCAGTGTCACTGGCAAAAAGCCTCCAAGCTCATTAACTGTTCCGTAGTCTTGTAGTACATTCCTATACCATTCCTTTTGTGCTGTGAATTGCTGTACACTACTAAAGGTTCATTTCCACAGTATCAACTCAGTACAAACAAGCTGCTTTGGCATCCAGGAGTCCAAGCACCATGCTAAACTTGAGGGAAGAGAAATTACCCAGAAGTTTCTTTAGAAAGCATGGGGTAGAGTTTTGGCATTGCATCTGCATGGCATTGTTGTTCTGAGCAAAACCAAGCCATTCTTCATCAGTTCACAACATAAAGTCATACAACAGCATCTGTTTTCTAGTATTTTTATATGGCCCTTGCCACAGTGGTAGGTACATTTGTTAACCAGTTTCTTTACAATTTTTGAGTTTCCAGCTGTGATCTTAGGACAACCTTGGTAGAGATAACAGACATCAGATTAATTCTTTTCTTTGAGCTCTTTTCTAACAATACTCATTCTTTATATATCTGTTTACTGACAGCAAGAATAATTAAAATGTATCTGTCAAATTAACTCCTGATAATTCTTCTGCTGTAGCACTGTGCAATAAAAAAACCTCACACATAGGCTTCTGAAGAGCAATACTCCCTGCTGCAAATCTTACAGCTACTAAAGATATTTTTCCCTTTTTCATGGCTGGGAGGTACAGGTAAGTGACATTTTGTATTTTAGCTCAATCACCAATGTACTTCCACCAGATTGCTAAACTATGTCTGGTCCAGTAAGTCACAGGAAAGAAAATGAATTTGAAGCAATTAGAAATGAATTTAGAAGCAATGAATTTAAACTTGCAGCATTCAATACTTCAGATATCCAACTTCCTTTACACAAGACAGCTTCAGACAGCTTATGCTCTCTTAAGTATTCTTTCTGCTTAAACAAATAATGCAGTTAGTTGTAATACCATGTATCTCTAGTGGTCTGTATGAGATTGAAGAGATTCTTCAAAGCTTGGGAAATAAAGCCAGATTTCAATAGTGACGGACAAAAAGATAGCAAACAAAGTGAACCCTATCTAGGAAGTCAAGTGACCATCCAAATTTGCAAAGCCACAAGATATCTTGCAATGTCAGAAGTCACATTATTTCTTATGTGATTGTTGGTCTGTGTGTGGCATCTCCTGTGCACGGTGCTATAGCTGCAGAAGCTCTGCCTGTCCACCCAGCCACACAGATTCTGCTGCTGAGGTCATCTGTTCAGACCCTGCTGTTGGCCACGATAGTATCTACCAGAGTTTCTGTGCAAAATAATTCTTTCATTAGACTCCACTTCCACCCACACCCACACTTCCCCCAGAAAGTTAGCATCCCTGGATTTGGGGTTTTGAGTTGGGGGGAGAGGGGTACACAGGACATTGAACCATAGGGCAAGTTTTGCATGCTTTTGTCATAAATTTTGACATCACCACATCAGTTTTACAGAGTGATACCATATAGACATACAGTGCCCATTTTGACCTTGAACACCCTGTAAAATACTTGCCTTACTTCTCTTTTAGAAAATCTGAAATGGAAGAGTAACTACAAATGCTGTGTTCTGGGGATGAGAACAGCATCACTCCAACAAATCACTCAAAACAAATATTTTGTGCTGTTATATCTATATGGGTAATAGGCAGCAGATAAGATGAAAAAATATTCAAGGCCACTAGTGACATTTTCCTTAGACCGTTATCTTACTTTCTCCTTTACTTCCACTGGACATTGCTTCCTATTTAAGATTGTTTTACCTATAAGACTCTCAGAAATCAGCATAGAAAAGAACAACAAAAAGAAACAGGAAAAATGTCAGGTTTCAAATAAGCCACTCAGTGGGGATGGGCTGTGAAAGCATCTCTCTTAAGCAGTCCCCCTACAAATCTTTGAATAGTTGTAGTAAATGTAGATGCACAGAAATACCTCTATTTATGCTTACTAACACAACTGGTTGGGTAAATGTTTAGAAATGAAATAGCCAGATCTTCAAACATCTTTTTAGCACATTTAATACATACACGGCTTTGGACACATTTATGTATTTTTAATTTAAAAAAAAAAAAAAAAAAACATTATCCTATAGATGCATGCTATCATGTGTGTCATAAATTAGGGCTGATATATAATTTGCTTGTTTTTATCCACAAAACTTCTGAGCCACTGCACTAAAGTTCCCCATGCCTCACTAAGCACCACAGAAGCATGTAAAACAAAAGCAGATGGAGCAGGCACACACATACATTACATATATATATATGTATATGTATATGTACATA